TCTTCCCGTCTGTGGGCTCCTTAATATCACTCCTTTTATCCCCTGTTTACCCCCTGATATCTTCCCGTCTGTGGGCTCCTTAATATCACTCCTTTTATCCCCTGTTTACCCCCTGATATCTTCCCGTCTGTGGGCCCCTTAATATCACTCCTTATATCCCCTGTTTACCCCCTGATATCTTCCCGTCTGTGGGCTCCTTAATATCACTCCTTTTATTCCCTGTTTACCCCCTGATATCTTCCCGTCTGTGAGCCCCTTCATATTACTCCTTTTAACCCCTGTTTACCCCCTGATATCTTCACCAATCACTGAAATATTGACAACTCTGAAAGTTAGTCATCAAATTCTTTGACATCCTTGACTTAAAAATGAGCCAACGCCTTGGCTTTTTGGTTTTTACTCACCATAACTCAATCATTAATAATTTTTTAAATCAACATTATAAAAGATACAATATCGTTAAGGATCACACATCATTAGTAATAAAATATCAAGTATAGCCTAGTGTTGTTTACTAACTTTTTCTTTAAGACTTCTAACATTTAAAAACTGTTAAATGTTAGAACTTGCTTTTATTAACGGTTGCAATATTTTTATCATAAATAGCATTAAAAATTGTACACACCAAAAACTATCATTTTAAAACAATCGATTTTTTTGTTTTCAAAAATTCATTCAATTGAAATATTAATATTTCTTTCTATTCAGACTGGTTATTTTTTTCTTCCAAGAGGTAAGATAATCTAAAAAATTAGAAAATTTAAACATGGCTGGAAAAAGACAGAATCATTTTAAAAAAGAAATATTTGGTCGAAAATAATTTCCAAAAAGTTTAAACTTTTCCAGCGTAGCGTTAGCTTTACTATAGATTAGGTAAAATAGAATTATTTTGATCAATTTCAGAGACGTTTGTCAGATTTTTCTCGGATTTTAACTTTATTTCTTCCCTAAAATAATATTTTGAGATATAAGCAAAGAGAATAGAATATATATTAGAGTGGAATTTACTCGAAAAAAGTGTAAAACGGCCATTTTGTTGTACTGTTTCCATACTGCAGGTGTACTTCACATATTTACGCTATATAACCTTCTGGGCCCTGGAACATCATTTTATAGAAAATCTAAAATTAATATTAAANATATTGATAATTTTTTGTTGATCCTTGCTTAACTTGAACTTTTTCCTGTGTGCAATTTTTGCTCGGAATTTGCGTCAATTTTTTTCTCGCCATTTGAGCATTCTTTGCATATTTTTTTTTCGTGCGATATTAGTGCATTTAAAACAAAAATTTTATTAAAATTATTTTGATTTAGGACAAGTTACTCCTGTTTCATACCCGTGCATAGAGGATCCTTATTCCTTGCCTTTTACACTTAGCTGGACTCCTGGTGGTAAGACATATTTCACCTGAGTGAAATAATATAATAAAATACTACAGATACTTAAATACATACTTAAATCAAGGAGTATGAACTAGAAGGGAGATATAACTGACGCAGCCCGCCCTACCATATGATTATACATGCTTTGCAGACGGGTACTCCGTTTGTATAAGAAATATTCAGAATAGGTTATTGTATACGCGGTAATTGTACATCAGACAAGTATTTCTTATTCAAATGAAGTACCGTCAGCAAAGATGTATAATCATATGGTGTGGCGGGTTGCGTCAATTATATCTTCCTTCTATTTCATACTACTTGAATTAAATAGATACTTCAAATTGCGCCTCTACTCTAACAGTGAGAAGTGACTTAAAATATACACCTACAGGATGTCCAACATAACATAAAATATATCATAGATAGGATATTTCATATTTTCATGATATGTTTGATCTATTATATGTCTGTTTTATGATATTTCTGATCTATGATATGTCTGATCTATGATATGTCTGATCTATGATATGTTTGATCTATGATATGTTTGATCTATGATATGTCTGATTTATGATATTTCTGATCTATGATATGTCTGATCTATGATATGTCTGATCTATGATATGTCTAATCTATGATAAGTCTACTCTATGATATGTCCGATCTATGATATGTCTGATCTATGATATGTCCGATCTATAAAATGTCCAATGTATGAAATGTTCGATCTATGATATGTCTGATCTATAATATGTCTGATCTATGATATGTCTGATCTAAAATATGTCTGATCTATGATATGTCTGATCTATGATATGTCTGATCTATGATATGTCTGATCTATGATATGTCTGATCTATGATATGTCTGATCTATGATATGTCTGATCTATGATATGTCTGATCTATGATATGTCTGATCTATGATATGTCTGATCTATGATATGTCTGATCTATGATATGTCTGATCTATGATATGTCTGATCTATGATATGTCTGATCTATGATATGTCTGATCTATGATATGTCTGATCTATGATATGTCTGATCTATGATATGTCTGATCTATGATATGTCTGATCTATGATATGTCTGATCTATGATATGTCTGATCTATGATATGTCTGATCTATGATATGTCTGATCTATGATATGTCTGATCTATGATATGTCTGATCTATGATATGTCTGATCTATGATATGTCTGATCTATGATATGTCTGATCTATGATATGTCTGATCTATGATATGTCTGATCTATGATATGTCTGATCTATGATATGTCTGATCTATGATATGTCTGATCTATGATATGTCTGATCTATGATATGTCTGATCTATGATATGTCTGATCTATGATATGTCTGATCTATGATATGTCTGATCTATGATATGTCTGATCTATGATANCTTTGCACTTACAAAACGTGGAGGGATTCAGATATCCATCCAGGGGGGTTATAATTCCACTGGAGGGATTCAGATATCCATCCAGGGGGTTTTTAATTCTACTGGAGGGATTCAGATATCCATTCAGGGGGGTTATAATTCCACTGTAGGGATTCAGATATCCATCCAGGGTTTTTTTTAAAATTCCACTGGAGGGATTCAGATATCAATCCAGGTTTTTTAAAATTCCACTGGAGGGATTCAGATATTAATCCAGGTTTTTTTAAATTCCACTGTGGGGATTAAGAAAAAATAGATAATAAAATTCTGATTACAGGTATGGTTGAATACAAAGAAAAAATCTTCATTTATGATGGTTTTTTAAACAAGTAAGAAAAATAATTACAATATTTACCGAAATTTTATTGAATTAAGCAATCAAGGATTTCAGTAATGTCAATTATCATTTATAAAAGGGACGGGCAAAATAAGTTCAAATTACCCCCATTTAAAGGAGTTATACATGATCGTTTCTCAACGTTATTATTTGTATCTTTACCTGAGTAACGATTAGAGAGATATCGTTGTTTTTCTTTCTTGGAAAAAGGCCAATTCTGTTGATTTTCTTCCTTTTTGCTTCTGCATAAGGACAACCCACAAATCACTTTTACATGTAAATGGGCATGTATAACTCCTTAAATGGAGGGAACTTGAAAAAAATCATTTCATTCTTTGAATTAAGTTTTTTTACCAAATCTACTATTGGCAAACATTCTTACCAGGAAAAATTCCCTGAATACGCCCCTGATTCTTATTTCATACTTTTCTAACTGTACTGTTGGCTTACTAAACAAGGATATGCAAACTCATCATGAAGCTGACTTTGTCAATTTTTCTACAGGGTATCCAGAGATCTTCTGCAGAAAATCCCCGTTTTTTTCTGGTTTTAAATCCTTGCCACGTGTATACGGAATCAGGATAAATTATTCCATATATGGGCAGTGGTCCCATCCACAGAGGGAGGGACGCCATGAGCAGACACAAGCCATCCCAGATTTGCTAGGCAGACAGAGCCTCAACTATACAGACTGTGCCTCCGCTATGCAGACCAAGCCTCCGCTATGCAGACTGTGCCTCCACTATGCAGTGAACGAGCCTCAACCATACAGCACAGCTTTTTTTAAATCTTGGTTTTTATGTGTAATGAAAAATTTTAACAATTATTTTGACATAGTGGTATAAGAATTTTACTAAAGATTAGAGTTATTTATTGATTGTTATGATTAGAAACATATATGAACTCATAACTTGGTTTATAAGATTTATACTAAAACTTAAAACATTTCTTACGCAGAAAGGAAGATATTTAGAGAAATATTTCTGGAGTAAACTTGGTTTGTTTTGTTGTAATCTTTGATTTAAACAAGATTTAAATAAATGATACAAATTTTCTAGATTAATTTGAACTACAAAAAAAGGAATTGCTTAAATCAAAGATTATTAAGGATGAAATGAAATTTAATTCTAATTTTTTTTCTCTAAATATTTTCCTTTTCATGTAAAAAATGTTAAAAGTTTTATATTCCATGCACTTTATTAGTCATGATTAGGCACTATTTATAATATTTGAAAAATACTTCTCATCTTTGAGAAACCTCTCATGCCACTATAATGTCGAAAAATTTGAAAAAAAACATTTATTTAAACTTAAAACACAAGTTTTAAAAACCTCCTGTATTACTTAGGCACATTTGGATGTGTTGTGCATGCTCATTTCTGCATTGAAGGAGGCTCAGGGCCTCCGGGGGTTCCCTCCCTCATCCACAGTGTTGTTAGAGATTTTCCAGGAGGGCTCACGTTGCTAAGTAAATCAGATAAGAAGCCAGATTGATGCATAATGTACTGCAAAAATGCTTCATGAATCATAAGGGTTCTGCTCCTTTTTGATATTTTCTTCCTCTATTTGATTATCTCACTTTTGTTTATGAATCATCTGACTATGCATTCAAGCATTTCTGGATAAAGCTTTCTCAGGGCCTATGCTTAAATAACAATAAAAGGGGATACAGCTTTCTCAGGGCCTATGCTTAAATAACAATAAAAGGAAATAAAAAATTTATGGAAAAAAGTATGTTCTATCAGTTCACACTGTACAGTGTAAGCTGTACATACACTTACAAAGCGAGAAAAGTACAGATTTCTATGTTGTCCATTATCAAACAAAAATATTTAATGGGTACCAAATTGTGTAACGGATATGCCATCCTATAAGTGGAGTTTACTTGACATTAAAGCTGTACACTTAAGAGTAAATTTAATGCATATTGAGAGTAGATGATATATTTGTTAAGATGCTTCTATGGTACCCAGGGAGAGACAACATGGACAGAAACTGTAAATTGTATGGATACCAGTGGAATAAAGGCGTCTTCAATCGTAGCTGTTGGTCAATATATCATTAGTACTGGAGGAGATATTGCAAATCAACGGTAAGTTGCAGGAAAAAAGGATAAATCTTTTTTGAATCGTTCAGGGTGGCACATAAAAAGAGGGATTAGGGGTTCTCAGCCAATTAAGTAAGATTTTGTCTTTTGATCCTTCCATTTGGAATAAAAACTATGTAGAATATTCGGAAATCTCTGACCTTCAGCTGACCATTATTGTTCAAGGAACAAAAATTCCTTAAACATGTATCTGAACCCCTTTAGATTTTTCTTCTGGGCTTTCTGAAACCCATGGTGTGTATAAATATATACCCTAGAACCCTAGAACGAGAGATTGCAGCAATTCCTGCCCCATGGTTATTTATTTTTTAAAGTAAACAGAGAGGTTTTTGAACATTTGATCTAGTTCGACGTCTAACTGAAGCATCAAACAACAAAATATTACATAAATGACCACTTCTTATATTAAAACCTTTTTAGTCATTTTGAAATATTATTATACTATTTAGGCTTAAAATGATAGTCCCTTTTTTCTTTAGCCACTGCGTAATAAAAAACTTAAAGAGTGGAAACTTTTTAAATAGGATATCCATATCATTTTTGTGGAGCAACTTAAAAATAAAAAAAACCTAAAATGTCTTTAAACAATTAGAATAAATTAGGCAAATATATTTCTTCTTGTCTATTATAGTACTGATAAAATTTACATTTATGACGGAACTAAATGGACGGAATTAGCAAACAAACTAACTTCTCAAAGACGAAATCATTGTTCTGTAGCCACAAGGTAAATTTTTCTTTTTAAATGTTCAAAAAAGTTTTTCAGCAATTTCTTAATATGCCTTAATTTCAAACCCTATAAGCTTTACTTGTAGAGTATAAGCTTTAAACTAATTTTGATTCAGCGAAACAACGATAGTTGTGATGGGAGGGCAGGGTAATGGTAGCCCAAGTAGACTCAAAACTGTAGAGGAAATTGATATTGATGGAAATTCCAATCCTCTACCAAACTATACTTTCTCTCAGCTCTTAAAATTGAAATGTCACCAGTGCAGTGACATAAATTCAGATGTACTACTTTTGTAAAAACAAATTACACTTTTATTATATTAAAAACACATAAAATACCAAATAATTAGTAGCTTAACCAAAGAAATTTGAAAACTATTTAAACAAGTGATCCTATTTCCATTTGTAAGTCACATTTAAAATTAATGATTTTTATATGGAAAAGCGATTCCGTTGCACACAATTCTGCGAATATCTAATAGCTTCCTAGCTCGCAATTTTAGTGCAATTTCGCAAGTCCGCATTTGGTTTTATGTACAAACATCGATTATTAATAATGTACAACATTCGGCGAATGTTTATGGAATATCATATAACCCAATATTTATTACAACCCTGGTTGTATTTAGGACTGCCATGGGATGTGCTCTCTACAAAGATGAAATTTTTGCAGTTGGAGGAATAGGAGGATCAAATGGGTTGGAAAAATTCACTTCTTAAAAGGGACTGTAATTGTAATTTTAACTTAGGTTCTATAATGCACCTATAGCAATGCCCAATTTACTATAGTACTATGAAAACTTAATCTGATCAAAAATGTGGTAAGCGGACACGAAAAGTCATTGTTTCTGTTAATTTCTCCATAATTTCTTATAATCAAGAACTACTGATTAAAAAAGGCAGTATAGCTTGATTTCTCCCTCTAATAGTATAACAAGGAGCCCAAGCCTCCTGGTTATACTTCTCTTTAAAGCAGAATATAATCCCTCAAAGAGGAAGGAAAAGTCTAGTCAGCAGCAAGTTCATTTCCATCCTGAGTTCCTTAAATAGGAAGTTGTTGGAAAACAGAGTAAATGCGTCATAAGAGAAGTATAACAAGGAGGTTTGGGCTCAACTTCCTATTAGAGGGAGAAATCAAGCTAAACTGCCTTTTTAAATCAGTAGTTCTTACGAGGCATTCCAGTTTTGGGACGATGGACATACAGTGTTAACTTTTGCAGAGAAACCTCAAATGACAATGAACATTTCAGGGTTCTGTTATAAATAGGGCAATGAATGGTTGAAACTATGCCTACAGTTCCTTTATATCTGAAAATTTTAATTAATAAAACATTATTAACATATTAATTATGCATCTAATGTGTATTTATCGCATTAAGCATATTAAAATGTAAAAGTTTTCCTTGGTAGAATTAAATTTGTCTTCATGAAATTATTCAACAATATTTAAAAAACACTTAATTTAGAAATGATGTTGAGATTTATAATATACAAAGGAAGGAATGGAGAACTGTAGGAAGTAGGGTTACCAATCGTAATTAATCAAAATCTTCTTTTTCTTTTTAAAATGTTTTTATCCCATCGGTATAGCTGTTTTGGCAAAACTTTAAAGAAATTTTGAAGGGATTGGAAGTGAAATTTCAAGTAATCCTCCATAAAATTGGGCTTTGTCCTATTACAAAGATACCCTTAAAACCTTTGTCTTGTCATTGAGGAGAAAGGAACTGTTTGTGTTTATCTCTAAAATTGTGTTTAAATTGCTTTAGAACTAGATTTGCTTTTAGCGTAGACATATTATATTCTATGAAATCTAGAATAATCATGTCTAAACCTGTTTTTACCGATTGAAATGTAAATATTTATTTTCAACAAATGGAGAGCCACATAAAATGACGCTCACAATCACTAAAAGTATTCAATTCCTAATTTTGCGATATTCATAGGATTTTGGGCAAAAATACACACTTGGTTTGAAACGGCACAGCCTCTACTTTTAAGTTTTGATTGGTAACCCTAATCCAAGAATTAGCTGGACTTAAGCGATATGGTCCTATGCACGTGTTTAATGGCAAACTTACAATCTTTGGTGGTGGTTCTTCAACGATTGAAGCTTTTAAAGAAGATGATGAAACATGGGAAACAGTGGATACAGTTGCTGGCTTTAATTCAGATTATGGTTATGGTTCAGCCTCAGTTCCAATTTACTGTAAAGTGTGAATTTGAATGGAAGCAAATAATTTAGAAGTAATTCAACTTATATTTAATTTATATTAGACTTACAGAATTATTAAATAAATATTCTAATTGGGACATGTGTTTTTCAATGTAAAATAATCGATCATGTTCAAAATATTACTATATGCAGCAGGACTAAAAAAAATAAAAGATTATAGAAAAAGAAGACAAAGAACCTTTGGTTAAATGTAATATTGTTAACCATTAATCTTAAAACCTCTGAGAAATGTTGTTTTCAACTTAAAATCTCCTCTCGGAGACAAACCAAACCAAATAATGTCAGCCCGCATTCCCTTTGTTCTCCGCCCCACAGAGCTTTAAAACATGTTCGTTATTGTGAAATCATTAAAGTTAAGCAAGAATATTTTCATATGAAGAATTAGTGAATTTCGTTAAATATTCAACTGTAATTTTTTCAGAAGTTTAAAAACGTATTTCAATACTGATCAACAATAAGTTTCCCTGTACCATACCAAAATAGATCGTAAGATTTTTTCTATTATTAATATTTATTATGACATTGTACAAGTAACCATGATCTATAATTTATGTTATTTTTTAGGAAATAAAGCTTTTGTTATCGATTTTCTTGAGACGGGGTTACTCTGTTGTGTGTATTTGCGGCCGAACAGAAAGGAATTATCCGGACTGAATTTATTTCCCTCCCCGGAGTTCCGACAGGCCTTTTAATCCAAATTCATCTGGCGTGTCGCTGTTATCTTTCAACAAATATAGTGTTAGTTTGATATAGGGCACTCAAGTCTCATATTTGCTGAGAGTTGAAAAGTAAAAGATAAACTGTAAAGACAGTACTACAATGAATTTAACAAAGACTTTGCTAATGAAAATCTACGCAAATTCTAAGCAACTTCTACACAGCCAAAGATCACAAATTTTATCTTCTCTAATAATCCAATATCTTTTAAGCTGTTGACATTTTATAATGTCTTCTTTTGAAATGGATTTAAGATTTATTTAAAAGCAAAAATAAGAAAACCACTTTAGATTTCTATCTTGAAATTTATAATTTTTAATTTGTCCATTAAAGTGACTTGTGGAGTTTATGTTACTGAGATAAATGTCTAAATGGCACCATTGTTTATTTGGCCTTAAATGGGTTGTTCACCTGAAATTATATCTATCAGTCTCTTGAAATATTTACTTTTTGTTTGAATATCTAAGATTTTTCAAATATCAGATAAACCTGAGCAAGGGTGTAATGCAAGGAAAGTTAATTGCGGTCGTGTATACTTTGCGTACATATTTAAACGAGTTCTCTTTGGTCGGAATTTGTAAACAAGAATAGATGCATCAGTGTTCATTTAGTATCCGAGGAGGTTAAAAGCATTAAATTTCGATAATTTTGATAATTCACATAATAATTTCCTATGACCAGAATATTTCATTGATTTTTTTATTTGAAAGATGGATCCCATGTCAGGAGCCTGGAGTGAGCGGAAACCTGTTGTTCCAGTTCCTGATGATCTGCACCACCATCATGAAGCTCTACAAATATGTTCCAACTGATGTATGTCAATAGTTTTCTTTGTTCATTTTTAACCAACCAATTTTACTCAGTCTTATGCAAATATTTCAAAACTTTCGTTTTTTAAATAAATGTTAGAAATATCCATTTCAGATATCTTTGTTTTATTACAGAGACTTTTAAACTATCTCTGTATTTATTTATTCCTTAAAAGGACTGCAGCAGACTTAAAAAACAGGGGATTAGATTCACAAGGATACCCACTAAGCCTCTATCTGAGTAGCAGTTAGGAAAGTATTTATTTTTCTGAACACGTTTTTCTTCATTATCTCTTGGGTATGAAATGAATCCGCATTTTGTTATTATTATGAAGAATCCACAATTGAAAATCATCATCTTTTAAGCTCATAAATACAAAATACGGATATCTTATTCATTCTTGAACAGAAAAAAGAATATTGTTCAGAAATGGAAATGATCCACCCGATAAATGGAGGGCTATTTAAAATTATGTGTACAGTCTCTTTAACTCGTTTTCCAGAAACTTTGAGATCAGAATTGTCTATATTTAAGATAACTGTTATCAATTATTTTCCAGCTGAAAAAGTTTGAGACTGTCCAGTTTTGAAATTGAAAATTGGGAAAATTCAAACTTTTATGAAATATTTTGCTTAAAAATTGATAAGTGGATTTTGTTTATCTTCTTATGGTGTAAAATAATCTTCACATTTTCTGGTTTGTTTCTTAATAATTTATATTAATATTCTTCTCTTTTTGCTTAGTTGTTAAACATTAATTTAATTACGTTAAAAGTTTCTTGTGGAATGCTGTTACGATATTAAGTTGCAACGATATAGGGATTTAGCGTCGAGTTGTTCCTTTTTTTATTTATTGAACAGTAAATATTTTTCAGTCAGTGTACACTGTACACTGTAATTGACAGAGAGAAAGGCAGTTATAGCTGCGGCGCGATCGGCCCCTAATCTGTCCTAGCCCCAGCGCTCGGCTTAGAAAGTGTCTAAACCTAACCTAACCCTAAAATATGCACTAATCTCAATCTCTGTCTTCTTATAATTCATTCTTAAAGGGATTGTTCGCGAAAAATGAAAGGGGGTTTAGGCTTAATGCGATAAAAAAGGCGCTTTTGATCGCTAATAATCTTAATTCTATCTGTTGCGTCTATAAGGAGAAAATTGTTAAAGACGTCTCATACCGAAGAACGTAGTGTCCATACAAATTGAGAAAATTGCAACATACGACTTAGACCGTAAAAAAATCAATTTAATTTCAAACAAATCATTCAGATATTACAACGTATAGTCATCGATTATCTTTCGCCACATTTATATATAGTTGATTTTTCATAATATGTTTTAATTGTTATGATCTGAGAGTTACATTTATTCCTGTTTCGAGGATTTTTGTTAATGAAGGCGACATTTTCATATTTTCCAAGAATGTTCGAAAACAAGTTGTAAGCTAAATATTATTTTAAGAAACAAAATCAAAACTAGTATTAAATATCAAATATATACAAATGTGGCAATAATAATCGATGACTAAAGGTTGTAATATCTGAATGATTTGTTGGAAATTAAATGGATTTTTGTACGGTCTAAGTCGTATGTNATGCCCAATGTTTCCCGTTTAAACATGGAATGAAAGTTTATTTTCAACGAACATGAAACAAAACATGAAACATGTAACAATTTGAAAATACTTGATGATGAAAATCTTTTACGAAAAGAAAAGCATAAAGCACACATGATAAATATTTTTTAGATTTTCTTGGACGATATCATTTCACATTTCATCGGTTAAAAACATTTAACATGTTAATTAAAAAGGGTTTAACTAAAATTTTTGATAATATATATATATATATATGTATGTATGAGTAATTCACAAAGTGTAAAAATAAAATATTCAGAAATTTTTTTTACATAAATAATTTTTAATATTAAAAAATTAAAATTAATTAAAAATTACTCTTTCGAAGGGTAATTCATGAAATACAAACTAAATGAGAAATTAATTTTATTCCAAAAATTCAGAATATTTATAATTTTAATCTAAATAAATCAGAAACCCACTTAAAAATTTTATTAAAAAAAACAAGAAGTAAAACTAAAATCAATTATTTTAACTTGCGAAATTTCTTCTTCTAAATCAAAGGGCCCCCGGCTTGGATGCTAAGCAAAACTGGCCATGTTTTTTCTTTTTAGTAAAAATGAACGTTACAAAAATCAGAACCAATCTTTAAATTTATGTTTTAAAGTAGGATATATGTAAAACAATCTTCAAGTTTGAAAACGGAATAACGATCCTTATTTTGAAATAGTGAAATTACGGAATTAATATCCTGAAGAATGAAGTAAGGATATAGGAATAAATTGATCTGAAATAAGAAAGTTGAAAAGATGAATAATATTTGATTGAATTATAGAATGTAAAAATAATAACTAATTCAGTTTGATCAAATTGTTTTGATCAGTTGCTCGAAACTATGGATCGACTAATCGACTCCGGCGAATCCTTCAGATCCCTCGATCGCTTTGATCAGCTTGTCTCTGAGTTGTTGATAGGAGGCATAGGGGGGTAGATCAAGCCTAGAATATTCACAGGTTATTAGGGTTAATAGGGGGGGGGGCATATCAAGACTAAANACACGCTATTAGGGTTAATAGAGCAAAGCAACTATTGAATTTATTCAACAAATTTCACTTTGTTAATAACCAAAAATACTGATTTTACAAAATGTAATGTAAATATCGTTAAATTAATACGTTCGACATATGTACATAGTATATTGTATCAGTGTTTACTGTACATGTATTAAACTGTACCATGTACGATGTAAATTTGAAGTGCAAAGTAACTAATAAGTGACAGAAAATGAAAATGTGTATAATGTACAAGTTGCAATGATATTTACATGTTGACTGTACATAGTACACTGTCAAATCTACTATATACAATGTAGAATGTTCAATTATCAATTAATAATGCTCGAATTATACAATAAACACTGTACGATAAATATTATAAAATGTTCAGTATGCTGCACATAGTAAAATTAACAGCAAATTAAGAAAACAGAGTACAACATACAATAAAAATTATTAATTGTACATTATATACAACTAGCTTATCTATGGGTTTCCTCAAAAAAATGTCAGCCAATTTGGTCCAGCCATTTGGCTATAGCTAACATATAAATCTGAGCTTAGAGCTTTATTATATAGATATATAAAATATACAATGCAAGGATATACCTGTTAAAGCACGTATGCGCTCTTGGATAGTTGGTTGGACTTCCCCACTTCTCTATAGTAAACAGTTGGGGACCATTCGAGCCATACAGTTCCTAGATATATAGCTAGATAGATAGATAGATATAGATAAAAAGATGGATGGATAGATAGATAGAAAGATAGATAGATAAATAGATAGATATGAATATAGATATAGATAAAAAGATGAATAGATATTGATAGAAATATAGAAGATAGATAGATAGATAGATAGATAGATAGAAAGATAGAAAGATAGACGGACAGATTGAGAATTAGTTGGTTGGACTACCCACTTATTAATGGTAAACTCGTGATGCGGGCAATATATAGTTCCAAGGAACAAAAGTAACAAAAATTATAGTAAACATCAGCTTGAATATAGATAGATATTAGACAGGTAGATAAAGAAATAGATTGATGAAATTACTTAAATTACATGAAAAGATTTATTAATACAAAAAGTTAAAAATATATATTTTTTGAATTCTTCGATTGTTAATACATTTATAAGTCTTGTGATAGCTTTTACTTCTAAATTAATATAAAAAGAATTTTAATAGATCAAAATGATAAATTGTGAAATATTATCAAGATATTTTCACGTTGTTTTCCATTATTTTCTTTGACTAAGAAACAGAATTATTGCAAACTTCAAAGAATGAGAAATATTTGAACCAAAGTGTATAAAAAAATTTAATTTTGATTACCTTAAATCCATTCATAGGTACTCTAGAAGTACCAGTTACAAACTGAAGCAGTCGGGACCTTAAGGTAAAAAAATTAGAAAAAAAATGAAAAAGTATACAAGCATTATAGGGACTGGAATGTTGGTCACCTATGTAAAAATAATTATTTAGATAATTATTTAATTATTTCGATTAAGCATTAAGTAACGAAGAAGATATGAATAAATAAATAATTAATACCAAAATTTGGAAACTACAGGGTTACCCACAAAGGATGAGACTTCAGAGACGACTATATGGAATTTATACTGCAACTATAAACTTCTTTCATTGTTTCCCAAACCATTAAATAAGCCGTTTAAAGACTATATTCAAGACATCAGATGATAAAACTTAATAATCTTAAGATAGTCTCAGGTTAAAGATGTTCAAGTCGTCTTTACAGTCTCATCCTTTGTGGTGAAACCTGTTTAATGTGTTTTTTCTGCTGGGCGTAGTAGTTATACATGCAAAGCGAAAGTATAATTTAGAATTTATTAATTTATGAATTTTTTAATTAATCCCTGTTTTAACCCTGTAAATTTCCTCCAAATATCCTTGTTTTATCCCAGTAAATAACTTCCATAAATCCTTGTTTCATCCCTGTAAATATCCTGCATAAATCCTTGTTTTATCCCTGTAAATATCCTCCATAAATCCTTGTTTTATCCCTGTAAATATCTTCCATAAATCCTTGTTTTATCCCTGTAAATATCTTCCATAAATCCTTGTTTAATCCCTGTTAATAACTTCCATAAATCCTTGTTTAATCCCTGTTAATTTATGGAATCCTTGATTTATCTCCATAAATCCTTGTTTAATCCCAATAATTTTCTAGCATAAATCCCTGTTTTATCCCTGTAAATATCTTCCATAAATCCCTGTTTTATCCCTGTAAATATCTTCCATAAATCCCTGTTTTATCCCTGTAAATATCTTCCATAAATCGGCTTAAAAAATGCCCACCTCATCTCGTTGCTGAAGGACAGTACAACTCTCCAGAACCATTGAATAACAATATGGTTGGGATGGTAGTCACCCTGCATACAGTCACAAACAGATTGATTAATTGATTGATTGATTAATTGATTAGTTATTTACTTGATTAATCAATTGACGGAAACACAACAGAATGCTCGGTTGATACGGACATTCAAAACCGGAATTTACAATAGTACCGTATATTTTGATCAAATATAAATGAGATATCCATGTTCTTGCTTTTAAAATCTGATTATTCTTATTTGTGAAATCTCAACAAAAGTGCTTTGCGAGTCTTTTGCTACTGAAACAATGGCGAAGATAGCAGAATTCAACACCTTTCGAATCAGAAAAACGACAGTATCCTTCTCATTATTGATCAGATTAAGATTTCAAGGGTACAGTTGTGAATCAGAGATAAAGGTGCAGTTGAATTTGTTTACAGTTCCTTTAATTTGTTTACAGTTCCTTTAAATGTTTACAATTCCTTAAATTTGTATACAGTTTCTTTAATTTGTTTACAGTTCCTTTAAATTGTTTACAACTCCTTAAATTTGTTTACAGTTTCTTTAAATTGTTTACAGTTCCATAAATTTGTTTACAGTTCCTTTAATTTGTTTACAGTTCCTTTAATTTGTTTACAGTTCCTTTAATTTGTTTACAGTTCCTTTAATTTGTTTACAGTTCCTTTAATTTGTATACAGTTCCTTTAATTTGTATACAGTTAAAAGAGCGGGATCTATTGTTCAAATTTGCTATTAACTCCTGACTCTCGTTGGAAGGGCTGTGCATAAACTGTGCACTATGCGGGTCTAAAATGGGGCTCAGACTGTTTGATTTTAAAAAATTTATCCCTATAATTACAGGTAGAGATAAATTTCTTAAAACGACAGCTGAGCCTGAAAAGATGGTTGAAAGATTATTAAACCTAATCCTAACTTCTAGCTGTCCTACTGTTTCCATCGTCGAATTTGAACTAGCCCCATTTGCTGAGTAACTCCGACAGGTAACAATTGTCCTACATCCCCTCCCAAACTATCAATAAAAAATTGCTCACTGACAGCGACGCCTGATGGAATTAGAGCGCCGGTGTCTATGAGCAATTTTGTGTTTATAAAATTTTCACCTGTACAATCCATGTCCGTTTGATATATAGCACCTTCAAGGAACGAAGTTGCTTCGATCATGTTGATATGATGCTATCTCATTTGAACTACTCCCGTTTGAACTATTGTTCATTTGAACTATTGTTCATTTGAACTATTGTTCATTTCAACTACTGCATGTGGTACCACGTGAGTAGTTGAAGTGAACAATAGTTCAAACGAGTAAATATATTGCTCATTTGAACTATTTTTTATTTCATTTGAACTATTAATATTATAAATGAAATAAACAAAACAAAAAACAGTTCAAATGAACATTAAATAGTTCAAATGTCGACATAAAAACAGTTCAAATGAACAAAAAAATAGTTCAAATGAACAAAAAATTAGTTCAAATGAACAAAAAAATAGTTTAAATGAACAAAAAAATAGTTCAAATGAACTTAAAAATAGTTCAAATGAAATAGTTCAATTATGAAAAAAAATTAGTTCAAATGAGAAAAAAATATTTCAAATGAAAATGACAAAAAAAAGTTAAAATGGACATAAAAATAGTTCCAAATGGACATAAAAATAGTTCAAATGAACACAAAAATAGTTTTAAAAATAGTTCAAATGGACATAAAAATAGTTCAAATGAATTCTTGAAAATAGTTCAAATGAAATAGTTCAAATGAAGGAGGGAGACAGATAAAGGGGGCGGGTAAAATCACGTCGGGGGTAGGAGTAAATCACATTTGATTTGAACTATTTATATGTTTTTTAACTATTTTATTTGAAATGTTTGTTTGTTTATTTTTAACATTTGAACTATTTTTTTCTCATTCGAACTATTTCATTTGAACTATTTTCATTTAACTATTTTTTTCATTTAAAACTATATTTTAAGTTCATTTCAATTTTTTTTTCGTACGAACTATAATTTCATTTGAACTATTTTTATGTTCATTTGA